AGCCGCGGTGGGTGGGGGGTGCCTCTCATCCACCCCTGGTCCAGGACTGAGCAGGTCCCAGCACAGAGGTTTAATCCGTGATGACTCTGCCCTCCGCCGTGGGTTCCTTCTGGAGCATCCATGTCAGTCTGGTAGCTGCTGGAGGAGGAATCCCAGAGCAGAAGGGCTGTGTGCATATGTAGTTGGGGGGCTTGCAAGGGTGTGAGCTCATCCACACATATCCCTGTGCTCAAGTGAGCATAACGGTAAGCGGCAAGTAAGAAAATGTGAGAGAGCAACCATGGAGGAAAGGAAAAAGCTTCCCATTTTAGTGCCTTTCATGGCACTTTTTGCTTTTGTAACAAGGGACCCTGTATTTTCATTTTGCACTGGAACTCTTAGATTAGGGAGCCGGCCCTGGCTGTAGTGGCGGGGAGAGAACCTCTTGTGGTTCTTTCTAAATGGCTTCTTTCGTTACTGGGCTCTTATTAAGGATGATTTATCAGGTTTTTGTTGAGTACAGATCTACTTCTCTAGGGGCGGTAGGCTGGTAGACACGCAGGTAGCCATCACTGTTAGAATAATGAATGAGTTAGAGATTTGCTGAATGAATTGAATAAATGAGGTAATGAATAAAACAACAAAAAGGAAAACAAGGCATAAATGTGTGATGGACTCAAAAAAGGATTCCCATAGGGCTATTCACCTTAGAACATGAGACAAAGGCTAAGCAGGACAGATTTGAGGCATAGAGAGGCCTTGGGGGTTGTGGAGGGAGGGCAGCTCCTGAGTCCCGCTGTAGAGGCTGCTCTGGGCAGTCCAGCCTCCTCTGCTGGCTGGTCTGTCCTGCCTACTGCAACTCCCCAGTCACGGCTTTAGTGCTTATGTCTAGAAGGCTTCATACTGTACAGCAATAGGACCTTTGTGATGAGGAAAGACAGAGCCTTGATATGGAATTTCTCCTTTTGGGAGGAAATACCTGTATATTATGAACCTCTGTTGATTTGTCTCCAAAAACCCCAAGCTGCTATTCTTCCAAGCTGCCAAGGTCACAGAGAACATGGCTGATAACTAATCAGAATGCCCCACAGCATGTTGCATGTCTACACTCCCTCCGTAGCTGTCCACTGCCACTCCAGTCGGTCTCCCCTTTCTCCTTGAAGTCCTCTCTCCCTGCTCCAGCACCCTGAGGTTTCTCTTCTGAATTTGAACAGAATGGACTGGGACTCCATCTTTTCCAGGTGTTATGATTTTAGCATTTTCTACTTGGGCTTTTGAGGCCCATTTCCTCTTTGAGGCCAAGGACTATCTTGTTCCATTCTCTTGACTTGCTCTGACAGCTGAGCCCAGGCTTGGGCACCAAGTACTTTACTCCAGCCACTCAGCCTTCTCCACTGCTCCTGTATCACCCTGGACCTGCCTCACCACAGGGCCTTGTTTACATGGTCTCTCCCCCTGCCTGGAAAGCATCTTCCCCCCGCTATCTGCAGGGCTTGATCCCTCCTCTTTCAGTTCATTTTCAAATGTCATCAGTGAACCACTCTCTGACGTCCCTGTTGACTCCCTTCCTCTCTATCCCATCCCCCAACTTTATTTTCCTCTAAAGTACTGTCACCATTCAGTCATTGTCTGCCTTCCCCGTGGAAGGGACATTCCATGAGGGTGGGATTTCGCCTGTCTGTTCATGGACACACACTTACTATCTAGAATGATTTCTGGCACATAAGAGATGCTCAGACAAGGTGTGCTGAGTTAAACAAAGAACACTTCAACAGGTTTTTTTATTTCAGCTGAAGCCCTGCTGTGTGGTCTGTGGATCTTGAAGGCTGCTTCCGCTGTCAGGATCAGAGAGAATAGGTAGGTAGTAACTTGGGGGACAAGCATCAAGTTCTGTCTAACAATTAATTCAATTTGCTACATATCTGAATTCCTGGATAGTAAATAAAGATGTGTAGTTAGTATAACTACACTGCACTTTCATGCTCCAGGTCCCATTAGCGCAGCTATTTAGGGCCTGTACTGGGGTGGCCAGAGTCACATGCCCCCTCCCTGTGCAGGTCATGGCACAGACGGCAGGGAAATAGAGTGAGAAAATGTGGACAAACTGAGAAGGATGGAGCCATGCAAATGCAAAACGCAGTTCATTTGCTTCCTCCTTAATAACTGCGTGCCAATCTTCCGTTGGAACTGAGAAGGAACTGGGAGCAAGGAGGCCTGTTCTCTGTTGCTGATCATTGGTGATCACTCACGGATGATCCTTCTATTCGGGAAGCCAGTTGGCAACCAGAGCACAGTATTGGGCATGAGCCACGAAGGAAGGAGTTACATACTTCCGAGGGGGCCGGGCTCTATGTGCACCTGCAGGTGGGCTCAGCTCTAAGGTCAGCACTTGGTTGAGGAGACTGCAGGAAGAACATTCCAGATGGGAAGAGCTCCAGGTACCCAGGCTTCCTGCAGGAAACCATGAGGGCCAGTGGCTCTTGGGAGTGAGGGATGGGGAGCTAAGGTGGAGAGGGAAAGTGGCACCAGGTGGAGGGGATATGGACCATCACAGCCAGGGGAATTCAGATAAAGAGAGGGGACTAGGGTAGGGCTCTGAGTAGGACTGGGGATAAAGGTGTGAGCTCTTCCATAGCAGCATGTAGCAGCTGCTGAATTAAATAAAATAGTAGAGTACAGGGTGCTTGACACCCAGAGATAGACTTCAGGAGTCCAAAACCCTCCAAATTTGTAGGTGCAATTGTGCGGCATTTGTACGTGTTCATTTTTTGAGGGATAATGTCTTGCCAATGGGTTTCAGCCCCGGGCAAGTTTGCTATGGATTCAGTGTGACCAAAGAAATTGACAGCAAAACGTTCTTTGGGGTGAAAGGGTTTATTACCTGGCTTGTTCTCCGGCGGTAGGTCAAGCACTATCTGCCTCCGCCCAGAGCACTGGGCCGAGTTCTCTATATAGTGCAATAATAGCTTATTGCCTACAGGTGTGGAAGCGGCAGCCCAGCACCAGGCCAGTTACATCATCAGGTGGTTTAAGTTCAGTGAGGATCCTGGCCATAGGAACCCCAACTTCCCCACAGACAGCATTACTTTTAACCAGTTTCTTAAGCTTCTATAGCTATGTAGTGGACATTGTTGGTGGCCTCCCCTGGCTCTGCATCTACCCCTTCTTCACATAGCCCACATCTGTTGGGTGAAGGGGACCCCACACCCAGCTCCTGGAGTCCCCAGTCAGCTCCTTCCAGTCTGGCGAGCACTGTCTCTGCTTTCATGGGAGCATCTGTGGCCTTAGCTGTGTCAAGGCGACTCTGGGGAGTCTGCTTGTAATGCTGGGCTAGACCTGATTCCTCTTTTGTCTAGGAACATTGATGGTCTGCCTGCATGAGCCATCTGGCCACCAGGCTGGGGGTACAGACATCAAAGGGAGGGTAGAACCTGGGGAACCACAGATGACAGGAGCCAGATCTGGATTAAAGCATCTCTGTAAGGCAAAATTGTCTGCATGCTTTTTACAGGTTTTAGAGATGAAAACAGTAAAGAAACTGTCTTGCCAATGGGTTTCAGCCCCAGGCAAGTTCACCATGGATTCAATATGACCAAAGAAATTGAGAGCAAAATGTTCTTGGGATGAAAGGGTTATACTCAACTTTATTTCTAGGTGGCAGGTCAGTCACTAAAATCCCATTCACTCAGAATGAGTCTGCATGGAGCAAGCCGGTCTCTGCCTCTGGGCGTCTCTGCCTCTGGGCCTCTCTGCACAGTCGTCCTGCACAGCTGTCCTCTGGGCCTCTGTCCTCAGTGCTGCCACCACTCCGGACTCTGCTCTGCTTTCCTGAAGCCTTGCAGCCATGTCGCGCCCAGAGCACTGGGCAGAGCTCTTTATATAGAGTCAACAGCTGTGTATTGCCCACAGGTGTGCAGTGAGCTACTCAGCCAGGACCAGGTGAGAATCCTGGCCACAGGAACTCTCATTTTATCCACAAACTAACCAAAAAAACCTCCTGTGTCCATTATTTATATCATCCAAAATATAAAGAAGTATGGAAACTCCTTTGCTTGCAAATTTCCAACTTCCAATTATGCAGAAACCAGAAACTAAAAGCAGAGCAAAAGCTCTTACCTCTGCCCATATCTACAGATGGTGTTAGTTGCAGACTCCCAGGGGCATGGAGTTGAGAATGAGCTGGCATTTTCAGTGTCCTCAAGAAGTCCAGAACTATGCATCTTCTTATGCTAAAACCTGGATGGGCTGGCTCCAACCCAGGCGCCAGCTGTGAGTTCTCTCTGATTGAAATGGAAGCTGAGGCACGTGCACATCTCAGCTCTCTGCACTTACAATCACAAAAGAGACAAATGCTGTAACATTGTCTTAGCAAACGACCAAGAGCATGAATATCTGATACTAGTGGAAGGGATTTTAAGTCTATGTCCTGTAGAAGGAATACTGAAGTAGAGAGTTTCCCTTAAACAAACAAATAAAACCTGGTCTCTGCCTAACAGGCACTTCTCCCAAGTTCTCAGCTTCCATGTTGGCTTCCTGGCTTTAGCTGTGGCAAATGATTGCTGAGAACCTAGAAGCAATTCCTCATTTACAAGTCAATGGAAGATTTTTAGATGAAAAAGAAAAGCACAGCTAAACCCCTCTTCTTCTGTCTGCTTATTAGGGATTCCCTTCCAAGAATTTCCAGGTGTCTTGCCAATGGGTTTCAGCCCTGGGCAAGTTCACTGTGGATTCAGTGAGACCAAAGAATGACAACAGAATGTTCTTGGGGTGAAAGAGTTTATACCCAACATTATTCCCATGGTGGTAGGTCAATCACTAGAATCCCATCCACTCAGAGCAAGTCTGCATGCAGCAAGCCAGTCTCTCCCTGGGCCTCTCTACCTGCACAGCTGTCTCAGTCCTGTCCTCAATGCTGCCACCACTCCAGTCTCACCTCTGCTCTCCTGCAGCCGTGACACCGTGTCGCGCAGAGCACTGGGCAGAGCTCTTTATATATAGTCAATAACAAAAGTATTGCCCACACATGTGCAGAGAGCCACCCAGGGCCAGGTTAGAATCCTGGCCATAGGAACCTTCACTTTATCCACATCAGGAGAAGTCAGTAGCTTCATGGTCCATAAAGGCAGGTCTGGAAAGGCCTTGAAGATGGAGAAAGAAGAGCAATGAGCATAATGGCTTAAGACTTGGCACAGACAGCTGTGACCTGGTGAGCAGGGCCTGCAAGGAAAGCACAATATAATCAGGACTTACATTCACTGAGTGCCCATATGTGCCACACAACTATTTCACATGCCTTACACTTAATCTTCACTATGTTGTAGATACAGAAACTCAGGCACAAGAGAACATAAACAACATGTCCAAGATCATACACAGCTAGAAAGTGGCATCTTAAGCCCTAACAGTCTGATTCCAGAATCTGTGCTTTTGCTGCCAGGATAACGAGCCCAAGCCCAAGGACACAGGCGGTGGCCAGGAGCCCAGGAGGAGGGCAGTGAAGGAAAGCAGCAGGAGAAGCCCTTGTGGTTTGCAGAGGGTGTTCTGGTTCACTTATTCAGGAGTATCTGGGGTTTCAGAGACCAGGAAGTTCCTCGCCAATAGGGAAGTTACCTCTTTGTCATGTAAAAATATTCAAAAATTTTTTCTTACATCACTTGATAACCTAAATGTAATTTCAATGCAAAGGACACACTTTCAGGGTAAAGGCCCATCCTTGAAGTTTAAGAAACCTACCTCTGTGAGTGCCTCCCTCCATGTCCTCACTTTCCTCATCTCACTGCAAGCTGGTTAATATGTCCTCATGAGTGGCACCTGTCTCTGGACCCTCATCTGGGGAACACTGCCGTGTCTCATTTTATCTTCATAAACCCTCTGCAAGGTAGGCAGAGAGAGAAAAGTTTGTTAACCCCTAGTTTATTAATGAAGATACCAAAGCCTGGAGAAGTTAAGGCATTTGTTTAAGGACACACAGTTTAAAAAATGGCAAGGCCGCGTGTTTAGACTCCAGGCCTAGTGCTCTTTCCTTGTATACCACAAACTATTCACCAGATGACCTAACTGGCCACCAGATTGATTCCTGTGTGAGGACCTGAATGTTCAGGAAGAGAGGAGCATTCTAAGTGGTGTTTCCACAATAGGGCTCAGAATATAATAAACAGTGCAGCTAGCTGAGAGGCAGTCTCTGGATTCAGGACAAGGTGAGGAGCACCTTAATGATAAGGAAGGAGCATCTCTTCCATTCCCAGGCCCAGCCTAGCACACGGCTGGGTGCATAGGGCTGGCAAGAAATCCTTGCAGCTTAGAAGTGGCATTATGGTTTTGAATACCAGTTTTTATTTAGGAGGATTTTACTGAGGAAAGAAGGGAAGACTGAAGGAAGGGGAAAATATCTCAGATACAAGTTGGTAGGATGCTACTGGGAGAAGGGAAGAAAGGGTAGTCCAGAACAAGCTTGATGAAGGTGCTCCGGGCAGTGTGGGGTAGTAGGAGACAGCAAGTGGGGACTTGTCTCTGGCAGCAGGTGACAGGGAGGCAGAAGCACTACAAGTGGCTTCCCACTGTCCTTAGGATCAAGTCTACAGTCCTGACCATGCCTCCTAGGACCTAACTGTCTGCTGACCAGGGTTGGGCTTGAGCTCTTGTGAGACACACGAACTGGCTGGGTCAATGGTATAGGGATGTCCAACAGGATGAAGGAGACCCCTGTCATTCCCTGTTCAGCCACTAAGGGACACTGTTGCTTCACAGGGCAGCAAGGCAGTGCAAGTGATGACGCTAGCTGGCGTTCACTGAGTGCCAACAGTGTGAGAGGCACTTTGAATAGTCTAATTCCACAATCATGTAAGAGACAGGCGATTAAATCTGTTTTACAGACGAGGTAAAAAGGGTCAGAGAGATTAAATGATGTTTCAAGGTCTCAGGGCTAGTGAATGGCTGAGTCAGAATTCAAATTCAGGTGTGCCTAAATCCAAAACCTAGTGCTTTGCCCTCGCACTCCCTGTCATGATGCCAGAGCTTACCAGGTTTGTCCTCCTGGCAGTCACCTACCAGGGCTGGTGCCCACAGTACAACCTTCTCTTATTCTGGCGGCTCAGTTGAGCCAACTTTGATTATCTAAATTAATACAGGGGCCACTGACTTGTTTTTGAATCCAGAGATCATTATTGGGAGAAGGGGTGAGCAAGGAGGAGAGAGACAACACATTTGCCTTTCCAGAGCTCTGTCTTCTGGTCTCATTCTGCAATCACTCCCCCTCTATGCCCGCCAGCCCTCACACAGAGGCCAGAGAGCTTTCCTGCAAATTTAATCAGATGAATACTGTGCTTCAGGGGCCCCTGTAGCTTCCAGGACAAAGACCCACTCCTTAGCCAGCACCCAATGTCCTTCATGAGCTGGAACCTGCCTTGCTACCTTATCCTACTCACCCTGCAACAAATAGCTTAAGAATCTGTACTCCCAGTGCAATTCCCTGAGCCACAGGCCTTCAGGGCCTCTCAGAGCTGCAATCACCGCACAGCTGAGAGGGAGCAATGACACTTCCCATCAGGTGGTTGTAAGGTTGAAATAACACCTGTAAAGCTGCTGGCACACTGCTGACCCACAGTACGTACTCATTGACAATCCTTGCCTTCCCATTCTAAGACCTTGGAAATATACAAAGATGTACAACCTGCAAAGGCAAATTTATGTGTTATAATGAGTCCAATCCCTGTGTAAACATTTCCTGACACAGACAAATGTCATCAGGGGTGTTGTTTTGCTCAAACTGACACGGAGGAAGGCATTCCCTGTACTGTTTTCCTTTCCTGTGCCCATGGTGAGCTCCAAGGTGACTCAAACACTTTCCGGATGCTGAACTCCTTGAGGACAGGGACAGAATTATGAAACTCCAGGTGTCTTCATAGGCCCAGCACAGCACTGGGTCTTCAGTGGCATCTCTAAGATTGTTAGTTGGTCAGTTAATTATTGACTGGGCGCATGAGAAGCTGCAGGGATGACCAGGTCATTTCAGGGTATTGTCATTTGAAACAAAAACAGCATTGTTTTAAGAGACATTAAAGCCCAAAAGAAATATAGTACTTTTTTCTTCCTGCTGCAGAAGCTGGCTGCTTTAAACCACAAGGCATTAGACCAAAAAAGCCACGATGCTAACCAATGGGTGACTTGACTGAGCACTCTGGGTGGGTTGGACTGACTATGCCCAGTCACAGATATTGGCGGGACCTGCTCCCGGGGTTTTGAGCATCCAACCTTGGCCCATCCTCTCCTTGTATTTCTCATTGTAGTTTTCTTATTCTGAGGTTCAAAGAGACAAAACGTATGGGATGCCTCCCCAGGTTCCAGACGCTCTCTAAAACAGACACACCAGGATCTTGGGGCTCAGCCTCTTTCAGGAAAGGTCTCACCAGATCAGATGAGGAGCAGGGATTCTGCTCTCAGCCCAGACTTTCCTGAATCCAGCCCAATCTCAGTTTCTCCCTCAGGGTTCAACTTCCCACATCCAATGTCCCATCGAACCTAACTACTCTGGGTTTGCATGTCAAGTAAATTTTCTAATCAGTCAGAAACATTTTTTTCAGCCCTATTGCAGCTCCATGACTAAGGCACATTGGATTCTGGTTGGTCTGCCTGTGCGTATTCTCAGAATCAAGTGTCAAATGGCCTTTGAGCATGGTAAACATATTGTATACAGATCTTTCTTGCTTTCGGTTACCTAAATAACTGTTATATGGCATTTAAACTATCTGGGAGGTCTTGCATACTTGAACTCCTTTAGAAGCATTGGAAAAACTGATTGGTATTACTCCCATGAGAGATGGGGACTCTTAAGGGACTTGTCCAAGGTCACCCTGCAATGTAGTGATGGCCACGACCTCTGGCCTTGTGTCAACAGCCCTACCAGTGAGAGTTCTGTCCAGGCTCTGTAGTAGTACCCACAGGGCTACATGCAAATGTACTGTTGCTGCAGCTGGCAATGAGGAAACAACTGCAGAAGCAGCCGTGCAGGCAGGTGGGTGAGGTTGGAAGCAGCCAACCAGACAGGGGAATCTTGTGTGGGAGGTTGCTGAAGACTGAGATTTCTGGGCCCTGGAAAGAGCTCCCAGCGCCCAAATACCCTCTCTGCTACCAGAAAGGTCCTTAACAAGGAATAAAGTCTTCTAGTCCAAGGTGAGAGACCTGGGTACAAATCCCAGCTTTGCTCTTTATTGACTGCTGAACTTGGGCAGCACATCTAGCTTCTCAGAGATTTTTTTTGGTCCTCTGTTAGATAATACCTATTTTGTAGGGTTGTAAGGATTACACTTTAAAAGGTACACAATAGGCTTAGCACACTACCTAGCTTATATTGCTCAGCAAGTGGGAATAATTGTAAATTGCAGGTGGTGGGGTTATGAGGTTTTTTAATGTTTTCTTTTAGCTTCTTTGGGTTTTTAGCAAATTAACATGTACTGCTTTTGTACTAAAAAAGATTATTTTTAACAATAAAAGTGTTAATAGCTAGACACACAGGAAAATGAAGATACAATTCAAATTACACAAGGACTTAAATAAGAGCAGAACTTTTCCGGAGAGAAAAATGGTAGAATCTGCACTTACTGAATACCTACTTTATGCCTGATATTCTGTGTGCATTTTTATTTAATTTAAATAATTATCACGGCAACCGTGTGCCACGAGCCGTTAGCTAGCTACCTTACCCCCATTTTATAAATGAGGAAGCTGAGGCTGAAATGGTTTTGTACCTAGACCAAGTGCACTCCTTTGGGATTGAATCCAGATCTGTCTGACTGCAAAGTCTGTAGTCTTTCCACCAGCTTCTCAAGTTAGCAGGAGGGGTAGAGTGGGAATGGGACAAGGGGGGAAGTGTGGCAAGCCGGCAGCAGGGGCACTGGGCATGTAAAAAAGTTCAGTGGGCACAAATGGGGGAGAGAAAATCAGCATGGGGATGGAAGAATCTTAGAGCAAAGTTGCCCAGTTTCACAAATATTCAAACAGGCTCTCCCCTGTTTCAGGAAGGCTAACATCAGTAGTGATTCTATTCAGTTTTCGTCTTTTGTTTTGCAGCCTCCTTTGCAAAGCTGTGACTGGGCAAGTCAGCCTGTATTGCTTGCTCTACAAAACCAGCTCTCGGCCCCTCTGGGGTGCTGCTGGGAGTGTGCACACCGGGCAGTCTGCTGCCTGACTTCTTTAGCCTCATAGGAGTCAAATGAAGCCCCATGAGTTGCTTCAGCAGCTCTAGCCTCCTATCTCTCCTCCAGTCTTTCCCATGTGCAGTCCCTTCATCTCATCTCAGGTGAAGGTATCTTATTACTGGTCTGGTGGGGTTTTTTTTGTCAGTTAAGGTAAGTTCATTTCAGGCCAGGTATAACTGTTCAAGTTGTTTATTACATAAAAGCATCCAGAATTCACTGTGATCACTTCACAAATTTATGAATTTTCCTGAAACTCAGAACTGACGCATCTGATTTATAGGTATCGAAGGAACAAGCTTGTTGCTTTGCTATCTTTTGAAGAGACCAAGTGACTGGGCCGGGGTCATGTGGCCCTAGGAGAGGACTAACACCCAGGTCTTCTGATTCCCAAACCTGGAATGTCTCTCCAGAACCACTTATATAATAGCTTGCCCTTTCCTCCACATAAGACACAGAAAGGAGAGCTGGAAGAGCAGGGCCATGCGTAGGGGCAGAAGGCCCCTGACGCTGTGGCTGTTGCTGCTGAAATCAGCAAGGCGTAAAGTGTAGAACCTAAAGGGTCAGTTTGCCATCCAAAGAGGTCTGTGATATGGCAGACCCTGGGAGGTGGCTGGCCTCTAGGCCCAGGAGGCAGGAAATGGACTTCAGAGGGTGCAGGTGTTAGCAGATCTCCTGGGAGCATGAGTCTCCTGCCTCTGAAATCTCAACCTTGACCTGACACTGACCCTCACCCAGGAGTTTTAAAAACGCTGATACCCAGTCCCTGTGCCAGGGACTCAGAGGCAGTTGGTCTGATGTGGGATGGTTGGGTGCATTTTAAAAGCTCATCAGATGATTCTAGTAAACAGCCAGGGCTGAGAATTGCACACTAGCAGGCAAGCTCCTGGAGGACAAAAACCCTGGCTTTTTCATCTCTGTCCCCTAACACAGCAGCCTGTTGCAGATAGAAAGGCTGCAGGCAGGCATGCTGACCTGAAGGATGTAAGACTAATAACACTAGTGATGGGCATCGGGATGATCACAGCCACTAAAAACGGGGCTGAAGAATATGTAGAGAAACAGAAGCAGGTTGATTCTAATTCTGTAAAAGTAAATACATATGTAAGAGAGAAAGACTAGAAGTTTAAATGTCAAAGGATTAATGCGGTTATCTCTTGAATGGCTACATAGTGGGGGCAGGTGCTTCTGGAGCAGACTGCCTGTGTGAATTCACGTAATTCACATGTCATGCCACCTCTCTGTACCTCGTTCTTCCTCATCTCTGAAGCGGGGGAATAATGGGGCAAAGCAAAATCATAGCTCATCAAGGGAAAACTGAGCAGCTTTAGAAAAGGAAAGAAAAATATGTACTTGCAAAAGAGTGCAAGGGAGTCAGATTTCAGGAATGGCTCTCCAAATGGGAAAACATAACAACAGCATTTAATAAAACAGACAACAAACAAATGTGAAGAATTACCAAGACTACTGGAGTGGGTTGAATGATGACCCCCCTGCCCCCAAAAGATATGCCATGTCCTAGAACCTGGGACTGTGACTTATTTGGAAAAAGGTCTTTGCAGATGTAATTAATTTAAGGATCTCAAGATGAGATTGTGCCAGTAGGCTCTAAATCCAATGACAAGTGTCTGTCTGAGAGACAGAAAAGGAGAAGATAAGGGAGACAGAGGAAAAGGCCATGTGAAGACAGGAGGAGACTGGGGTGATGAGCCACAGGCCAGGAATGCCTGGAGCCACCCCAGAAGCTGGAAGAGGCAGCAAGGAGTCTTTCCTAGAGCCTGTGCAGGGAGCACAGCCCCGCTGACACCTTCATATTAGACTTCTGGCCTGCAGACTGTGAAAGAATAAATTCTTGTTGTTTCAAGCCATCATATTTGTGGTTATTCTTTCCAGCAACTAGAAAAAGAATATGGCCACCAAGCGTGCAGGCATCAATGTTGAGCCCAGTAGCACAGACATTTGTGAGGGAAGTACAACCACCTTCTCCCATAAATGTCATGGCATCGTTAGACATCAGCATAGCCAAAATCAGGGACAGGATTGTTTTTGTTAAGGAGTCTAGGTTCACAGAAAATATTCAAGGTTTTATTACTTGGGTACCACAACCAGCCTGTTATTTTTGGTTTATTCAGGGCACAAAATATTTTGGTTTTTTGTTTGTGTTTTTGTTTTGTTCTGCTTGACTTTGGTATAAGAGATGTTGTCTGACTTTGGAAACACAGCACACTTGTGCCTCCACAGCTTGTGAGACTCAGTGAGGTGAGAAATGCAAAGGTACTCAGAACAATACCTGGCACTGTTAAGCATCCTATGTGTGGGCAGTAGCTGTCTTTCTTTTTGGTTATGTGTTTATTCTAAACTTTCTGCAGTGACCATGTGTAACTATTTTCTCCTAACTCAAATGCTCACTTATTTTAAACATCAAAAAGGCAAATTATGAGAGAAGAGCCACAAGTGCCTCCACCAGTTTCCCTGGGCTCCAGTGTAAGGTACCCATGTTAAAGTCTGCTTCCTGCCACCTCCATTGTGTCCTGGGACTCTGATTCATCCCTGTGAGTGAGAGATGGATCCCAGCATTGGTTATTTCCCCTCTTTTTAATGAGAAAGTTTTTAGGGAAAAGTTCAGGAGCATGGCTAGGAGTTGCACAACTCCCAGATGGAAGCAAAGGTGAGCACAAGGTCTCCTTGGGTCCTAATGACAAGGGAGAGAAGGAAAGGGAAGAGGCAGCTGTGCCAGAGGACATGGTCAGGGTCGGCATCAAGGGTGAGCTGTGAGCAAGGGTAGACAGGGGCCTGTGGAGCCTTGCATGCCCAGGGACTAATCCCATAGCAGCGGGGCAGCACTGAGTAATATCCACCCAAGAGGTGGCTCAGTCAGGGAACTTTGATGTCACCAGTGTGTGCAGGAGGCAAGAGGCCAGGAGCATAGCTGCTGGAAGCCTAAAGCGTGGCATGGGGTTAAAGGTGCTGTTCCTTGGGGTCAAACATCTGGACCTCTCTGGAAAGTTCATCTACTCATTCATTCATCCAACAAGCATTTTATTCATTGATTCCAAAAATATTGATTGAGCTCCTGCTATGTCCCAGCCCAGGCACCAAGGCTATCATAGGGAACAGAATAGACAATAATCCTCTACCCTTATAAAGCTGGTGTTCTAGTCGGGGGGATGGAGGGCAAACAAGATAAGTGAACTGTTCAGTAGGTTAGGTAGTGCTGAGTGCTAAGGGGAAAAACAAAGCGGGGAGGGAGGAAGGAAATGGGGAGTGAGGTGCCCTATTAACCCATGGCAGGCTTCCCTGATAAGTGACATTTCAGTAAACACCCAAGGGAGGGCAGTGAGGGAGGAGGTTGTGCGAGGGCCCAGGGAAGCATTTGTTGAGCTCCTCCCCATTAGCAAAGTGCCCACAGGCAGGACTGGAAAGGGCCTGACCCTCATCAAAATCCAGAGCAAAATGCCACATGAGGAGCAAGCACCTGGGTGGGTTTTTTTTGCAAAGGGAAATGCAAAGTGTGTCTCTCCTGTGTTTGTACATGAAAACTGAGGATCACAATAAACGATATTCAGTGAAGATAAGACATCATTTCAAAATCACTATCATATTGCTTCTTCTTTTTAAAGAATTACTTATATAAGAACAGATCATAGTGAGAACAAAACCTTAGCAGCCAGCTGGTGTTAGTGTTTTCCAAACTTGCCAAAAGATAAGAATCCATAGGGTGCTTATTTTAAAGACACAGATTCCAGCCTCCCTACCCCCATCCAGGGAAGGGGTCTGGGAACTGTACAATTAACAAGAGCCCCATTTATGGCCTAAACCCTGTTGTAACAGGCAAGCTTGGGAGACAGGGACAGGTCGACCCTCATGTTTTGAAAATGAGGAGGCTTAGAGAGAGGGGATGACTTGCTCAAGATAGAAGAGATTAGTCCAGTGCAGCAAAAAATATTTAAATTTCCCAGCTTCCCCAGGCTGATAAAAGTTTTTTGCATAGCACAAAGGTTGCTTATGATGTTTAAACTCAGGATACAACAGACACAAAACAAGAAAACAAACACTGGGGTGGACACCTATTAGGGGCACCAGACATACCTGGAATGAATTAGTTATTGTAACTGATGCTCCAAACTCAACACTGAGCTCTCTGGCAGCCAAGTCTGCAGGGGAAACAGATGGGGTCATTCTGTTCACAGGGTGCAATAAAATGGTGCATAATAATTTCATTGGATACGAAAAGCTTTTTCCTTTAACAAATTTTAAAACCCTCCAAACCTTCAGTCTCTTATTATGGCAATTATAAGAGAAGGGGCAAAATAAAGAGAGAGAAAATGGTGAAAGGAGAGATCCATTTTCCCTTAATCAGAATTATTCCTTCCAGGTAACTGATTGCATATGAGTAGTCTGGAGTTTGAATCCTCTTAGTAGACCACAAATAACTGCATTTGAAGGGACCCCAGGATAAACTTCTTTAAAAAAGATCTTTCTTTGAGGTGCATAATGTTTTTCATGTAAATGGGCTGTGAGGCCCTAAAAGAAAGTTGTGACCAGTGGTAAGTCACAGGATGCTCTGGGCTCTTGTGGCCTCACCTGGAAAAAAAGGAATTATAAAGCCAGAAGCTCCTGGAGGGGGTTGCCTGCATGCCTTCCGAGGTCCCTCGAATCCGTGGCCCCTGTGACTCAGCCCTGCCGGCCTGGGCAGGAGCAGTCTGGGGTTGTGTGCATGTGTGAGAAGCACCCTGCCACACACATGGGAGCTCAAACACCACATTGCTTCCTGAGTTGTGTGGCTGTGTGACCATATTTGTAACTGTGACCGCTCAGGCAAAACTGGCCTCTTGGGGAAAGAAGTTTCTCTTTTCAAGCCTGCTGGGCTGCTCTTTGAGGAGACACACAATTGCCTTTGTCATCTGTTCTTCCTGTGTGGGGACAAAAGCCCTTTCAGTTGCTGTGGAATGTACAACAAGTTCTGTGCTGAAGGGCTGTGGGCCCTGCCAGGAATCCTGCACATAGGAATCTGTGGAGAGCTGGCTGCATCACCTGGAGCTCCCTGGGCCCTGCCCAGCAGGTGGGGGACAGCCTGCCAGGAATCTGTAGAGGGGACGTGTCCCCACTGCCTGCTCCCCCGACCACTGCATGCACCCCCAGTGGCCTGCAACTACCTGTCCTCAGTGTGGCACTGACATACTGGAGGCCTGTTGCAGGCAGGTATGGTGCCAGTGGGGTGGGGCTTTGCTCCCTCCTTCAACCCTCCCGCTCCAGGCTGCAGTGCTGTCACCTCCGCTTTGCAGCTAAAGGACGGGTTTTCAGCAGGGGGACAGGGGTGGGCAGTGCTGAAACAGAGAAGCCAGGATACCAGTGGAAGAGAAGGAAGGCACTCTTAGCTCAAAAGCAGGGCAACAGGGCCTCAACCCATGGTGTTAATATTTTTATCTGAAGTTTAAACAAAACCAAAAAATATTGAACTGGCACTTTGGCAGGCTGGGCTGGGGGAGAACCAACTGCTACCACAAACCCTAATAGCAGCGCCTTTTCTCATTGCTATTTACATCCCTGGGTGTTTCCACCATCACTGAGCCAGAAGATTCACCACAGAGAAACCTGTTGCCAAAATGCCGTAAGGTTGAACTAATTCAAGAGGGCAGTTTTCCCAGGCTGCTATTGTCTCCATTTTTCTAACCGGGCATGGGAAATTCAAAGGGTGAGGAAGCCAACCGGTGTTGAACTTTGCTCCAGTTTCAAAATGTAAATGAGTGAGTGCCAATGGGAAGTGCCCAGAAACAGGTCTGAGCAATCAGCCCCCAGGGGAGCCCTGGTGGCAATTCCCAGGAGGGGAGGGGAGGCCTGGGGGAGGGGCCCAAACCCAAAGGGCTGGGAAACAGGTCTGTGTGCTCCTTGCAGTAGGTCCATCAGAGCCCCGGTCCCCGAGTGGATGGCACAATCCTGCAATCTTCTGAGCAAGAGAGGGAGCAGAAGGGAGAAGGGTGTGGGGATCAGACCAGCTTTTATATACAATCTTGTTTAAACAAGACTCTTATCAAGGAGTAATCCAAAACTTTGCTCTTTCTTATTACCTGAGCTCCCTAGGGAGTGAGTATGTGACTTTTAATACCCCTTTTAAACAAGACTCTTATCAAGGAGTAATCCAAAACTTTGCTCTTTCTTATTACCTGAGCTCCCTAGGGAGTGAGTATGTGACTTTTAATACCCCCAAGAGGGGGGATTAAATTGCCTCTTAATGATAAGAGCCTCAAATCAGCAGATGACAGAGACAGAAATGAGGGGAGCAATTCACTGTGTCCCGTGGGGGTGTCCTTTGTTCCCCACCATCTGGATCCATGTCTTCCGTTGCACAAGGTGCACACCAAGACTGAGAAGAGGGCTGGTATCTAGTTATAAAGCAGCATTTGATGACACAGTCCTCAGGTGCTGAGGAGCGGGCAGGACACAGAAGAACCAGCCGCACTACAGCTGTACAAGGAATGTCCAATCTTGTGGTGGCCATGCAGCGGCAGGGCATTAATTTTTAAATCTCTAATTAAATTGATACTATGTGCCTAATACTCTGTTAGATGCTCTGGGGAAAACCCCAAGTAGCTGACATGAAATTAATTGTGTATTTTTGAGCTACCAAGTTCACAGTACTGTGCTAGAGAAGGAGCACGAACAGCAAGGGAGGCAGTAGAGCTCTAAGGGGGGCTGAGTGCCAAGTGGTCAGGCTCTGCATTCACACCACTTGGGTTTGAGGCCGCACTCGGCCATGTGCCTGGCTACCAGCTCTCTTTGCCTGTTTTCTCACATATAAAACAGGAATAACTTCCCAAGGATGTTGTGAGGATTATGATATTTAAATTCGGGATACAACAGACACAAAACAAAAAACAAACACTGGGGTGGACACCTATTAGGGGCACCAGACACACCTGGAATGAATTAGTTATTGTAACTGATGCTCCAAACTCAGCACTGAGCCCTCTGGCAGCCAAGTCTGCAGGGGAAACAGATGGGGTCATTCTGTTCACAGGGTGCAATAAAATGGTGCATAATAATTTCATTGGATATGAAAAGCTTTTTCCTTTAACAAATTTTAAAACCCTCCAAACCTTCAGTCTCCTATTATGGCAATTATAAGAGAAGGGGCAAAATAAAGAGAGAAAATGGTGAAAGGAGAGATCTATTCTCCCTCAATCAGAATTATTCCTTCCAGGTAACTGATTGCATATGAGTAGTCTGGAATTTGAATCCTCTCAGTAGACCACAAATAACTGCATTTGAAGGGACCCCAGGATAACTTCTTAAAAAAAGATCTTTCTTTGAGGCTGCGTAGTGTTCTTCATGTAAATGGGCTGTGAGGCCCTAAAAGAAAGGCGTGACCTGTGGTAAGCAAGAAAGGAGCAGTCATAAGTGCTCAGCTGCTGCTAGGTGGAAGCTGATCTGGGCGGGGTGGGGTGTCAAGTGCTTAGCACAGAGCCTAGAACATAATTAGTGTTCAGTAGACATTAACTATCATTTAATATTATTACTATCTAAGACTCTGACCCTTGCCCTTCAGATGTTTATGACCTAAAGTAAAAAGTAGATAAGGCATGTCCTGAAATACACTACCAGACCCAGTTATTGCTGACAAATGTGCTATAGATGTCAGAGAAGGACCACGACCCTTCATGCAAGAGTCATTAAAGCAGGCTCCAGGGAAGAGATGAAGCACTGGGCCTTCAGAGCTGGGTGGAAATTTCACAGGAGAGGTCGTTCTAGCTGGGGACAATGGCACATGCAAAGACGGAGGCAGGAAAATGCCAGGCATGTGTGTGGGGTGCCTGGTTGCTTTGGCTTGGCTTTCCTGAATATCCTGCAAGGGAGTTGCGAGATAGAAGGCTGGAGGTTAGGCAAGTCAGTGCCAGGTGGCAGCCTGTGGAGTTTGAACTTTATAGTATGTGCAGAAAGAAGCCACTGAAAGTGTTTGGAGAAGGGAGTGGGGGCTGCTTCTCCTGCTCCTCTGAGGGAGACCTGGGCTCAGATATAGAGATGATGCTGAAACTGCCATCACCAGATCTGCAGAGACTCATCGGCTTTGGCTTCTTGCCAACCAGTATGCTGGAGGGCGGGGCCCATACAGTGTGCCAAAAGGCCCTTTCTCTGGTTTTCCCATCCTTGGAGCCTTTAAGACTAGCTGGGAAGTGATCTGAGAACAGGGAGATGGTCACAGAGGCTGCTGCCGGTTGTCAAATGGAGCTAAAATTGGTTTGAAACCATGCTGTCCAAAATGGCCAGCCACTGGCCATTTCTGGCTACTAAAGCACTTGAATGTGGCTGCTGCAAATTGAGATATGCTATAAGGGTAAGATACATACCACACATCAAAGACCTAGCACAGAAAAAGAATGTAAAATGACTCCTTAATGATACTTCAATATTGACTATAATAATATATTTAATATCTTGGATTAAATAAAATGCTATTAAAATTAATGTCACTTGTTTTTTTACATTTTTATGTGGCTACCAGAAAACTGCAAAATAGAAACAGGCAGCTCATATTATTTTTCTATTGGGCAGTCTAGAGGATAGGGGTTGGGTGATTTATGACCCAGATAATCAGTAGGGCTCTAACTATATACCCCATGTTAGCCTAGGTGCTGTTCCTGGTTTCCGAAACAGCCAGGCTCAGATTTGAACTAAATCAGCATTTATGTTCAGGATAAGGAGTTCAGAGAGGAAAGGGTATATTATTGTTAGTGTATTAATTCTCCAAATTTCTCCAGAAGTTGGCTCCAAAATTCCAACTATCAGTTGAGGCTGGGAGACAGCAGGACACAGTGTTGTAGGGACCACTTTGAGGAGAGAGTCCTCACCTGTGAGAGTAAAGGGAGAAGCTTCTAGGACAGAGTGGGTACTAGGTCAGACTTTCCTGGACCTTCTCTCAGTAGCTCCTTGGTGGGCCTGCCCGTGAACACTACAGAGCTCGTGAGTCAGGAGCTGGTAGGGAGGCTGGGATCAATGGGCCTCTGAAAGACATGTTGGGGGTGAAGGAAATACATCAAACTGTTTCAAAAGATTATCTCAAGGTTTTGTAATTATAGAGGATTTCTTCCTGCCTGTGCGTTTAAGGAGTTTTCTAATTTTCTATAGTTAAATAAATGACCAAAAGAAACTCTTTTTTTCTTTTAAAGCAAGAAGGGAGCAGTGCTCAGCTGCGGCTAGGTGGGGTGCGGTGGGGTGGTGGGACAAGAAGCCACCAGTCCACAGGCTTCATGTGAAGCACATCTTGCCGGAGAGAGGTTCTTTTTGTGAAGGCCAGAGAGGCTCCAACATGGGCTGGCCTGACTGCTGTATACTGGTGTAGTGTGGGAGTTCGGGGGATTCAGGAGCCATACAGAACTGCGCACAAATTCTCAGTGTTCAAGCTATCGTCTGTGTCCTTGACAGGTCACCTGCCATCTCTAAGCCTCAGCTTCCTCGCTCAGGGCTGGTAACACCCTTAAGGAGAGGACAGTAAATACTTGATGAATGCCAGCTATCATTATAATGGGGATTTAGCTTTTCAAATATCAATTCTATCAATAATAGAATGAAAAAAATTTTAAGTTTCCTAGGCTCCACCATGGGTGTTTCACAAACCTTTCTTTCCAGACAAAACCAGAAGGGAACAGGTTGCAGAAAGGCCTGTGAGGGAGATGGAAAACTCAGCTCCTCGAGGTCCCTCAGCTGCACACAA